ACATTAAGTATAAAAACATAGATATCACACAAATAAAATTTTAAGGTACATATCCAGACCTTGGAGATGGAACAGTTGGCAAATGCTTGCTGGGCAAACATGGAGACTGGGCTCAGATCTGCAGCATCTGTGTAACAGCAAGGCAATAGGGACAGTGTAATCTTAGTGCCGGAGAAGGAGAGACAGGAAGACCGTAAGGGCTCACTAGCCAGCCAGTAAGTCTCATTGGCGAGCTCCAGGTTTAGTGAGAGACCTGTCTCACAAAATAAGTTGGACAGAAATACAGACCTATTTCTGCATACAGAGAACATGTTGCTTTCAGAATAGAGAGGAATCAAGCTGGAACTGACTCAGAATTTCCTCCCTGCTGTCTCCCTGTCACAGTACTGGAAGAGGCTTTGCAGTCTGCTGGGGGAGGAAGGCCACCTGCATTCTACAGTATCACCATCATGCCAGACAAGATGAAGCCAACGGTGAAGAGTGGCCTGAATCTTTGGGGATAACCGACTGCTTTTGAACTGGACTTGAGGCTGCTTCACAGATGCTCTAAACCTGGTCAAGCTGGGTGTGGTGGTGCAGGCCTGTAAATCTCAGCACTTGGGTGTCAAAGACAGGTGGATCTCTGGGTCAAGGGCCAGACTGATCTACATAGCAAAGTCAGAACAGAAAGGGCAACACAATGAGACCCTATTTCAAAAAGGCAAAAAGAAAGAAAACAAAAACCTAAATTAAATCTGGTCAAAAGCCCATGGCCCAGAAACTCTCTAAAGGTCTTAGCAGGGAAGGGTCTAGTAATGCTGTCTTAATGGACATCCTGTCAAAATTCCTTCTAAATATTTATGTTCCTATGCAAAGAATGTTGCTGCTTTGATCCTTGGCTAGATAATAATTGATTATTGAGTGTTCAGCAATAAATGAGACGTCTATGTCAACCTCACACCAAGGCTCTGGGAGCATCTGATGGCACAGCCATATCCATTGGAAACAGCAAAAGTCATGAAGCCAGCACAGCTGTTTGACACAGCTCTAGCAAAGGTGAGCCAAATGCTGCAATCATTTTCATTCTTTCCCTCTTTTGTAGGTTTTTAGGATCTATGCGTTTTTTTGGGGGGGAGGGATCCTTTCTGCATTATGATTTTTTCTGTCTTTTCCCGAGAAAATTATGTCTGAGTTATTTCCATTTAGGATAAATAACATTATTTGGCCACTGTTTTGAAGGTTTCCTTATACTTTGGAGATCACTGAGCAGATTAGCATGTAAACTAGAAATTCTTTTATGAGGCCATTACTACAGGAATCTTTTGTGGATATCTGCCCTTAAGCAAACTCAAACAGTATAATTGGTACAGGGGAAACAAAGATAGCTGACAAGCTCTGACTGGCCAGAAAACCAGGTAACAGATTCAAGGCCTCCCTTTACAATATGCTTAGAACTCTCTGAAAATGTAGTTTAAAGAAAGGGGGTCATACAGGGTACACCCCTGGAGGAAGAGAACTCAGTAAATAAGACAGATTGACTAAAATAACTTGTTCCTACTTTATAGTGTAGATGATGACACAAGTAGTAAAAGGTGTTAGGTGTTAATATTTGCTCTACATAAAAAAAAAGTTCAGGTATTTTCTGTTTGTCTGGAGTGCCTTAAAACTGCAAATACTGCCTGCCTAAAAGCAGGCTGTTATATAAGAAATGTGTTTGCTTTGGATAAGACAATCTTTAGATTCTATAACTTGGAGTTATAAGGCTTATAATAAAGATAAATCTACTCTGTTTATATTTTCTAATCATGACTGAAGTTGTAACATTTCGTAATGAAAAATCAAACAAATCATCTGTAGTTCTTGGACAGGTTAGTCTGTCATTAGTCCGTCTTTGTTCTCTGAAACCTGTGTAATAAAGAAGCAATCTCATTGCTAGTCAATCAGAACTGGAAAATTCCCCTGAGCACCTCTCCTGACTCACTCCTCTCTCCCTCGACAATTATCCCCCTCTGCACACCACTCTCTGTTGCTCTCGTTCATCCATAGCCCTGATCAAAGTGCAGAGCTTTCTGAGCCACGGTTTGGAAGACTGTTCTTTTTTAAAAAGTATTTTATTCTTTGGAAATCACAGATGTGTGTACAATGTATGTGGATTATATCACCCCCACTGCCTTTCTTCAGTTTCCCCAGACCCTCCTCCTCAAGTCAGGTCATCTCCCAGCTTCGTATCCTCTTTTAACTGAATTCAATTAGTGCTGCTCATGGGTGAGTGGACATGGGGCCATCCAGCAGAGCTCGGGGAAACCTCAAGGCCCATGGGCTGAACAAGTGTCAACAGCTCCCCTCCTACAGGTGGGGCTTGGCTTGGCTGGATTTGGGGCAAGCTTGTATGGACAGGCAACCACAGCAACTGTGAGTTCCTGAGGGAAGGACCCTGCTGTGCACAAAACAAGACAAACCCAAGACAAAGTCCTCTACAGCCTCTGGCTCTTATGGGCTCTTGGGCCCCTCTTCTGCAATGGCCCCTGAGTTTGGGAGGAGGAAGTGTTCCTTCAGGAATGAGCACACCCTGTCACTCACTGTCTGCACTTTGACCTTGTTGTAAGTCTCTGGAATTCTGTTCTTGTTAAGGTCTGAATTTATGTTCATTCCAGACTCCCATTAGCACCTAAGAGCCCTGGGGTGTCCCAGAGAGTCACTTGGAAGAAAGTATATGGTCATTGTAGCCAATTGTAAGTTTTCATCTTGCTGTTGTCGTCTTTCTAAACAAAAGCTGGGGCTAAAGAGATGGCTCAGTATTCAAGAGCTCTGACTGCCCTTCCAGAAAGCCAGAGCTCAATTCTCAGCACCCACATGGCAGCTCACAACTGTCTATAACTCCTGCTCCTTGGGATCTGACTTCCTCACACATGAAGTTCAGTGGCAAAGTACTGCTTTTCACTCATGACACTCTGGATTCAACCTCCTGTCCCCTTTCACACACACACAACAGACATAGAACTAAAACAAAAAGAAACAACAAACAACTGAAGAAGAACAGGCAAAGTTGAAGGTTCAGGTAGATGTGTGTGTGCATGTGTTTGGTAAAAGGACAGTGAACTGAAAAACAGGACTGTGTTTGCCCATGGATGAGGAGGACAGCATCCTCGGGACAAGGGAGTGGCACGGTGGCCTCTGAGGCATTGGGAGACCTTGACTTCTTGACTTTAGCGCTCAGCTCCTAGGCTTTATTGTTATTGTCCTTTCAACCAGATACGTAAGTACAGTAGATACGAATTACGTATGCTAGTTTTAATTAAAATAAAACAAAGTTTGTTGATAGATTCTAGAACAGGTTTTAAGTACAAGCAAATTGTCTCCCACCTTGCCGCACAGGGATTGAGAAGAGGCCCTGGCATTCTCAGCTATTGTCTACATACTCCTAAAGAAAAAAGGAAAAAGTGGGACCTGAAAATGTCTCCGTGGGAGAACAGTCACTACTCCTGCGAGGACTCAGGTTTGCACGCAGCACCCATATCAGGCAGTTCACAGCCTCCTGTAACTCAGTTCTAGGGGCTTTGATGCCCTCGTTCTGACCTCTGTGGGCATCAGGCATGCAAGCAGTGCACAGATATACATGCAGACAAAACACCCAAAAGTCAAATACTTTAAAAAGTAAAAGAAAAAGAAAAAAGTGACCACTCATCTTCTAACTTCAAAATGAGATGGATTATCTATTCTTGTATTTATTTATTTATTTATCTATTTATTTATTTAGGACAAGGATAAGTCTTGCTATATAACCCTGGGCTGGCACAAAACATATGATTTTAGAAGGAAGAGAACTAAGAAGAGCTAGAGAGAGATAAGAGAAGGTAATGGGAGGACGGTGGTGAGCATGAATGTAATAAACTGTAATATATATAACATATATGTAAAACATAATGTATATATATATGCAATGTTATTGTATGTATTAATGTACACTAAGAAAACATTTTTAAGGAATATTTTAAGTGATTCAGATATTATTAGCATCTTATCTCAAGATCAGACGATTATTTAAACCTTTACATTTAAATGTTAATAATTAAACTTAAATCAATTTAGAGCACTTTTAGGTATGTGTTGGATGGAAAGAAAAGGTACTGGTGGAACTGAACACAGCCTGCCGGGGTACCAACACAGCTGCAGATTTTCCTGCCTTCCAAGGGAAACCGGATCAAAAGACTCTTATTTCTTAATTACACGTGCTGGATTTTAAAACAGATCAACTTTAGGGGAATTCATATCAAAGCATTTAATATAAAACAAAACGGGGTTTTTCTTCATTCAGCTTCCTGAGAGCTAGGATTTCATGTGTCAACCACCTTGCCCAGAAATACCCACTTTTCAATCTGTGCATATTGATATTTATCTTTCAAAATTCTAATTCCTACATAATAACAAATTTATTGTGCAAGTGGACCTTTCTAGGGTTTTCTTATGTGTAGAAGAGGAATAAAAATAAATTTGAAGACTGACAGAAAAGGGGTGAGAGTAGCTCTATAGTAAAGTGATTGCCTGGCATGCTCAAATTAGTACTTCTACCACCAACACTGGAAAAAGAAAACCACTGGGGAAATCTTAGACAATAGAAATAGAAAACCATAAAGCATTCTAAAAGGAGATGAAAAGAAAAACTAGTTTGTACTCAAAAAAAAATCAGAAATGCCTAGAACTGGCAGAAATGATGTGCTCTCAGCAGTGGGCTTAGGTGGCTGAGGCAGGAGGATCATGAGATCAAGTCCTACTAGATAGAATTGTTATGACAGTCTGTGCTACACAGATCCTGTCTTTAAAAGTGTGTACATAGATCCAACAAAAACTATGATCTTACTATGATGAGTAAAAAAGCTAGACAGGGAGAGTATCAAGGGGGAAAAGAAATAAAGATACATGGATGTATTCCTCGCAGTGGGAACCAGAGAGTGAGCAGACACTACCCACAGATAACAAACCTGGACAGTGAGGGAATAACAGATGAAGTGAGTTCAAAGTCAAGAGAATTTACTGCTCACTCTGGGAAAAACTTGGTGTGGTCTGCTAATGGGTCGTCACCTTCCTCCCACTTCTCCATACATCCTCCACAGGAAAAACACCGGACAAGGTCCTTTTTGCCTAGGAAAAGGAGATGGGGTCAGCTCAACAGCACGTACACCTGTCAACTCACAAGAATTCCACTCCAGATTTCACTAGTGAAATCCTACTTGCTCCTCCAGTTGGATTATGTGGGACTACCACGCACAGGAGGCAAGAGTTCACACAGGACTCTTGGTCCTTCCGTGGGGTGGTCAGCAACAGTCAGCAACAGGCGCTGAAGGTTCCTGTGCACCGTGTGCTTTGATGAAACCTCTCCCAAACCATCATCCTGAAAGATTTGCCATCAGGATCTGGAGTAGGAGCTCCGTGAGAGCAGAGATTTCTGTCTGTCCTGGACAATGATGACTTACGGGACATTCACAGACATAGGCAACCAACAAGCAATTGCTTACGGAGTAAATCGGGAGAATACACTTGTAGCTGGGGCAGGATGGAAGAGCAAACTTAGGAGCCTCTATGCAAGGCAGGTTATGAAGAATCCCTGTCTCTGCTCACATTATTGCCAGCTCTCTTTCCCTAGAAATAGGAGCACTTCATCCATGACACTCAGGCAAGGCTGGCAAGAGAAGACAATGCATTAAGACTGGGTAGAGTTTTGTGCCAGTGGAATAGCCTGTCGGATCAAGTGACCTCAGGATCCCCAAGCTCAGAGGCTGAGCACCGAGGGAACTATGGAAAACTGAAGGTTTTATGAGGCCCCAAAGAGATCTATGACAAATGAAAATAAAGGATATGTGGCAGACACAAAATTCTGACTCAGGTCCTAAAGAGATGCTCAGCATAAAGAGCACTGGCTGCTCTTGCAAAGGAGTCAGGTTTGTTTCCAGCACCAGATGCTGGCTCACGGCAACTATATCTCCAGTTCCAGGATCCAACACCCTGGCTAGCCTCTGAGGGCACCAGGCAGACATGTGGCACACGTGCTTACTTGCAGGCAACACTCACACACAGAAACGTAAAAATAAAGGGGAAAACCCCGACTGACCTGTGTAGAAAAGGCCTGCTTTGACAAGAGCGTCAACAGCCACAGGTGACTTGTGGGGCCAGTTCTTAAAAGTCTCCTTCCTCATGTCTTCATTAGCAAAGACGCTGTCATTGCAGTAAGCTTGGGGAAAAAGATGTGGGTGAGAAGAGCAGGCTTTGATAACAAAGTCCAAGTGAGTTGTGTGTATAGGCAGAATGATCTCATGATCTTTGCTTGTGTCAGAATAATTAAGGGAGGTTAGAAGAGCAGGAAGAAATAAGAGGTACAAGAAAGACCATGTTAGAACTGCTGGAGCAGAGTGGCAAAGGCTGAGGTATTCCATTCATTCTATTCATTTCTGTGCATGGTTACTGTGTTAAGGTGTAACTTAAGACTATCCTTTGGTCATCTAGAATCAGGGTACAACAAAATCAAGACAGGATTCCAGTTTCCAGGTCAGTGTGAAGATCTGAGAAAGGTCATTTCTCCTGTGGCTTTCTTAAAAGCAGTCATTTTCATGGCTTGCTCTTTGAGATGACCACACTGGGAAGATCACTCATCCTGGCCCTGGGCCACTGGTCTAATCTTCTCCACACTGTGAGGACTTGAAAATTAAAGTGTCCTAACCTTGGTCTGACAAGTTTCTCAAGATGAAAGCCTGCTGTGTTCACACATAATCCTATATTCCCCCCCACCTTTTTTTCCCTTTTGCTTTAAGTATTTCTTTGGCATTTGGAATACTACACTTTAATTTAACCAGAAAAATATCTTTAGAGTCTAGAACTTTTTATTTTATTGACTTTTGCCTTCTAGTAAACCACAATGTCATAGCAAATAGATTCTACTGTTTTTCTTTTTTTCAACAATATCCTATGTATATTATTATTTTAATTTTTATTATTACATTGTATTCACTTTGTATCCCCCCCATAAACACCACCCTCCTCCCCTCCCAATCCCATCTTCCCTCCTCCTTCTCATGCCCCACACATGCCATTTCCCAGGTCCACTGATAGGGGAGGTCTTTCTCTCCTTCCTTCTGATCCTAGTCTATCAGATCTCATCAGGAGTGGCTGCATTGTCTTCCTCTGTGGCCTGGTAAGGCTGCTCCCCTCTCAGGGGAAGGTGATCTAAGAGCACCTACTAAAATCTGCACACCTAAAGAAACTAATCAAGAGGAAAGACTGCCTATAATGCTCAATCTCCATCCCAAAAGGCAAAGAGGATGGACATCAGAAGAAGAAGAAAACAGGAAACAAGTTAGGAGCCAACCACAGAGGGCCTCTGAAAGGCTCTGCCTGCAGACTATCAAAGAAGATGCTGACTCATGGCCAACTGTTGGGCAGAGTGCATGCAATCTTATGAAAGAAGTGGGAAATAGTAAGATCTGGAGAGGACAGGAGCGCCACAAGGAGAGCAACAGAACCAAAAAATCTGAGCACAGGGGTCTTTCCTGAGACTCATACTCCAACCAAGTACCACGCATGGAGATAACCTAGAACCCCTGCACAGATGTAGCCCATGGCAGTTCAGTGTCCAAGTGGATTCCATAGTAATGGGAACAGGGACTGCCTCTGACATGAACTGATTGGCCTGCTCTACTGTTTTTCTTAGTTCTCACAAGTATGTTTCTCTGGTTGGAGCAGGCTGGCACTTGTGTCTTTCTTTGGCTTCCTTCTTTCTCTGATCACTTCCTTCACCTATACTAGGAGGCTGTCTCAGGATGTAGAGTTCTGTGTGTGTTCATGTGTGTGCAGGCATACGTGCGGGTAAATTGTTCAGGTATCTGTGGAAGTCAGAGGACACATGTCACTGTGTCTCCCTTGTTGTGAGGGGCTTTCACTTCCCTGGTGTGGTTGAAGAACCCCAGGATTCCATCTTTCCCTGCTTCTCCAGCCCTGAGATTACAAATGCACAACAGTAACACCTGGCTTTTGTTACATGGTTTCTGGAGACAGAATGCAAAGCCTCCTGTTTGCAAGGAGAGCACCCTGCACTTCCTGTCCCATCCATGACCCTTAGAATTCCTAATGAGATAAATACTTCCAGTGATTCTCTTCCTGCTCATGACTTGCTTCTTTAATAAAAAAGAGCATGCTGGGTAACACTGTAGACTCTTCCAGTTTTGCTGTGGTAGAATTCATGATCACGCCTTTTTGACAGCCCATTCCCTATGTTGACAATATCACTTTTTTTGTAGACTCTTGCATATATGGCCAAAGACACAGCTCTGCGTTCAAAGACCAAGAGAACAAACATTGTCTGCGTCTTCTTTTTCCCTTTGTGTTTGCTATTTAGCAAGTTACTGGAATACGGTGTTTCTAGCGAGGATGCTATCTCTCTCTCTCTCTCTCTTTCGGTATGTGTGTGTGTGTGTGTGTGTGTGTGTACACTCACTTGATTATGAATGTGTGTTGAGTGTTTTGCCTACAGGAAGCATGTATGTATACCACAGGTGAGCCTGGGGCCCCAGGTGGACCGAGAGGATGTTACATCCCCTCAAGACGAAGTTAGAAATTGTTGTAAGCCACTACCGTGGAGACACTTTGAACTGAACCTGAGTCCTTCACAAGAACAACAAACACTCTTAACATCTGAGGCATCCCTTCACCCTCATGCTCATTTGGGGAAGGAGGCACAATGCTTTGCCATGTAGGCTAAGCTAAGCTATCTTTAAACTCATCATATTTCTGCCTCAGCTTTCTTAGTGCTGGGATTACAGGCATGGACCTCTACACTTGGCACTAACCTCATGCAGCCCATACTGGCCTCTAACCTGTTATCATAGTCCTACCTGGCCATGGACACCTCATTCCACCTTCCAAGAGCAGGAAATACAGGGAGAAGCACACTCATGTGACCATAGAATTCTTACTCTATTACGACTGTTTTCACCTGTCCACTACCCCATGTTCCCATGTCTCTGACCTCTGCTGGGACTGAACTCAGAGCCTGTCCTACTTGCTGTATGGATGCCCTACAATTGAGCTAGATTCCTAACGTTAAGATTTGTTTTCCTTTGGATGTTGGCATGAAACACGAGGACCTTGTTCATTCTAGGCAAGTGAGTAATATCCTTAAGCCTATCACATCATTTTAATGTGAATATTCCTTAATTTCTTAACAGCACACTATGTCACTTAAGAATGCTTTTTGGGGACTGGGAATGTGGCTCAGTTGGTAGCATGCTCTCCTAGCTTTCAGGAAGACCTTGGTTCCATCACCAGCACCCAAGAAACAATGTCTCAGCACTCAGCAGGAGAAACAAAATTTCAAAATTCATTTGCATTTGAGGCCAGCCTGGAATAGGAGAGATGCTCCAAAATGCTTCCAAAACATGTTATCCAAAATGTTAGCTGTTTTAAAGAAGCATCCATGACAGCGCCCACCCTACCACACTTAGCTGTGTTCACCTATGCTAAAGAGTAAGCCAGTTCATGGCTCCACCGTACAGATGCTTGCTGCTGAGCCTGACAACCTTTTAATTAATCCCTGGAACCCTCATGGCAGAAGGAGAGAAGCAACTCCTATGTTGTCCTCTGGCTTCCGACCTTCACACATGGACCCATGCATACACATATACATTATGGAAATAACGGAGTGTAAATTGGGTTTTGTTTTCCTTTGTTTTAGAGACAGATTTTCTTTGTGTAGATTTGTCTGTCCTGGACTTGCTTTGTAGACCAGGCAGGTTTCAAACTCAAAGATCCACCTGCCTCTGCTTCCCTGAGTGCTGGGATTACAGGCATGTGCCACAGTGCCTGGCTGGGTGTCAATGTTTTAAAAAAATTACTTTTAAGGATTCACTTATTTTTATTTTTGATGTAGGTGTTCTGTCTGTGTGTTTGGCTGTACCACATGTGTGCAGTGGCCAAGGAGGTCAGAGGACGGTATTGGATCCTCTGGAAATAGACTTGCAGAGTTGTCAGCTAATACAGGGTGATGGGAACCTAACCCGAGTCCTTCCCAGGAGTGTGAAGTACATTAACTGCTCAGCCGTCTCTCCCAGCCATAAAGTAAAAAAACATAAAACAAACCAAAGTCATTCCATGATGGAGAAATCACTTATAAAAATATTTTCTGAAGAAAGTTGATGAGGGCTGAAGAGATGGCTCAGTGGTTAAAAGCACTTTCTACTCTTTTAGGGGACCTGAGTTCGGTTCCCAGCACCCACATCAGGCAGCTCACAAATGCCTGTTACTCCACCTCCAAGGGATCTGATGCCTTTGTCTGGCCTCCAAAATCCCCTGTAAATGTGCACCATGTGCACTCAGAGAGAGACAGAGAGACAGAGACTGAGATACAGAGACTGAGATACAGAGAGAGAGAGAAAAAGAGAAACACAAAAAGAAAGAACCAAACAAAGGTTTTGGTTTTACCTGATACCATAGGTAATTCTCTTCTGACCCAGGAATTCACAAAATGTTCTCCCTGGGGAAAGAAATTCAGGTTACTGCCTGATTGGCTGACTTACCACATCTATCTGTGGCCTGCAACTTAAGGTCTTCCCAAACTGAAGTGAATTTTCATTCGAGCAGCAGAATTTGAGCAAAGCAGCCCTTTAATTTTGGTTTGAGTTCTATTGATCTTGTAAACTTTGATGCAGTGCCAAGCATCAGTGAAATGGAAGCTTCTCAGGGTCACTCTTACCACACACCCTGCTCACCCACAGAACTGCAGTTACACACAGAGGTGTCTTTTGACTCATGAGGAACTGAGACACGGGAAGGGAGCCACGCTCTCCAATAAAGCAGCTCTTCCTCTGAGAAAACTGCACCCCAACTGTCAGCCCATGCCCTCTGCAGATGCTGCCTCTCAGTCAGTCAGACAATACAGTCTCCTTTGGCTTCAGTTTGAGGTGGGTTCCCACTGCTGGCCACTAGGATGTCCTTACTAGTTTAAGGGTGTAAATAACAGGTTCAGGAGCCAGCTTTGAGTGCCCAGCCTCTGCCATGTACTGGGTCAGAAGATTGAGTCAGACATCCAGGTGGAGGCAGCAGAAGGTAGCTAGAGTAGTGAGTGGCCTCACTCAGAGGGAAGATGAAGGAGGCAGCGGAAGCAACCCAAAGCCAGCCTGGAAACTGTCTAATTGGTTCCAGCTTCACAAGACAAGAGTTTTGTTTCCTCTCTGCAGAGAAGAGGCAGGACAATGACAAGAGAAAGGAAGAAAAACACAGAGTATTTGGGAAAACAAACAAACAAACAAAAATGAACATCACCCTGATGAATCACATATTATTAGGTAACAAATATATGCTATTAGAAATAGTTGGCCCTTGTAAATTACCGTCACATGAACAAATCCCTCGTAGCTTTGAATATACTGGGCAATTTCCTCTGACGATTTCTTACTTTGAAGAAATTCACATCTATAATTAAAAATATAATTAAAATATACTCCGAGTACCTGGAGCTGTACCATTTCCCAGGACCCGCACCAATCTGCAGCCCTAGAGACCAGCACAGATCAGGGAGCAACAGGTGAAACCTCCCCCACCCTTCCCCATCTACTGGCCTGCCAGAGCCTGCCAGCAATAGTGATGAGGTCTGCCCAGAGTGCTTGAGCTCCACTTCCCTGTGAGCCCTAAACCTCAGTTTCCCCGGCCTGTGCCATTTCCCGGGACCCACTCCGATCTGTGGCCTTGGAGATCAGCATTGATCAGAGAGCAGCATCGAGGATCAGGGAGTAGCAGATCAGCATGGATCAGGGAGCAGCAGGAAAACCAGAAGGCTGAGGCCATCTGGGACCAAGATCTCCACATATAACTCCAGAGACCTGTTACGATCAGAGACCACCAGGCCTGCTAATACCAAAGTCAACCAAATGGCTAGAGGTCAGTACAAGAATACAAGCAACAAATTCCAGGGTCATGTGACATCGCCAAAACCCAACTATCCTACCACAGCAAGCCCTGAGGATACTATCACACCAGAAGCACAAGAAAACTATCTTAAATCTGAGGTCATGAAAAGAAATGATTAAGGCCTTAAAAGAAGTAAATAAATCCCTCAAAGAAAATCAGGAAAATACAATCAAACAGGTAAAGGAATTTAATAAATCCCTCAAAGAAACACAAAAAAAAAACCCCAAAACAAAACAAAACAAAAAACAAACAAAAAAAAAAACAAACAAAAAAAACCCCACACAAAGCCAAATAGGAGAAGGAAAAGAATAAAACTGTCCAAGAACTAAAAAGGGAAATAGAAGCAATAAAGAAAACACAATCTGAGGCAATCCTGAAGATGGAAAACCTAGGGAAGAAAACAGGAATTACAGACAAAAGCATCACCAACAGAATACAAGAGATGGAAGAGAGAATCTCAGCTGTAGAAGATACTATTGAAGAAATCGATTCATCAGCCAAAGAAAATGTTAAATATAAAACATTCCTGACACAAAACATCCATGGAATCTGAGACAATAGCAAAAGACCAACCCTAAGAATAATAGTAATCGAAGGAGAAGACTTCAAGCTCCCAGGCCCAGAAAATATTTTCAACAAAATCATAGAAGAAAACTTCCCCAACCTAAAGAAAGAGGTGCCTATAAATATACAAGCCTACAGAACACCAAATAGACTGGACCAGAAAAAAAATTCTCCATCACATAATAATCAAAACACTAAATGTACAGAACAAAATAGAATATTGAAAGTTGAAAGGGAAACAGGCCAAGTCACATAAAAAGGCAGACCTATCAGAATTAAATCTGACTTCTCACTAGAAACTCTAAAAGCAAGAAGGCCTTGAACATCTATCTTACAGACACTAAGACACCACATATGTCAGCTATGACTAATATGTCCAGCAAAACGTTAATCACCATAGAGGGGGAAATCAAGATATTCTATGACAAAAACAAATTTAAACAATACCTAACCACAAACCCAGCCCTACAGAAGGAAAACTGCAACTCCAGCAGGCTAATCACACCCAGGAAAACTACAGAGGGAAAACTGCAACCCCAGCAGGCTAATCACACCCAGAAAAACACAGGAAAAAATAATCCCACAACAATAAACCATAACAGGTAAGGGGCACACACACACACACACACACACACACACACACACAGCACCACAACCACCACCACCACCACCAAAACCACCACCACCATCAAAATAATGGGAATCAACAACCACTGGTCATCAATCTCTCTCAACATCAATGGCCTCAACTCCCTCTTAAAACACACACACACACACACACACACACACACACACACACACAGATAAGCTAACAGAATAGATGTGGAAACAGGATCCATCATTCAGTTGCTAACAAGAAACATACCTCAGCAACAATGATAGACATTACCTCAGACTAAAGGGCTGGAAAAAGGTTTTCCAAGTAAACGGTCACAGAAGCAAGCTGGAGTAGCTATTCTAATATGTCATAAAACAGACTTTCATCCAAAATTAATTAAAAGAGATGAGGAAGGGCACTTCATTCTCATGCAAGGAAAAATCGACCAAGATTATATTTCATTTCTGAACATAGATGCCCAAAATGCAAGAGCACCCACAGTCATAAAAGAAACATTACTAAAGCTTAAATTACATGTTTAACCCCACACGTTAACAATGGGAGGACTTCAACACATCTCTCTCACCAAAGACAGATCATCGAGACAGCAACTAAACAGAGAAATAATGAAACTAATTAATGTTATGAGTCAATTGGACCTAACAGAGATCCACAGAACATTTCATTCAAACACAAAAGAATATGCCTTCTTCTTAGGACCTCTTGGAATCTTCTTCAAAACTGACCACATACTCAGATACAAAGCAAGCCTCAACAATTATAAGAAAATTGAAATGACACCTTGTATGCTATCAGACTACCATGGATTAAAGCTAGACTTCAATAATAACAGAAACAATAGAATGCCTACAAACTCATGGAAATTGAACAACTCTCTAGCTAATGACTACTAGGTCACGGGGGAAATAAAGAAATTAAAAGCTTTCCAGAATTCAATGAAAACGAAAGCACAACATACCTAAACTTATGGGACACAATGAAAGAAGTACTAAGAGGAAAGTTCATAGCACTATGTGCCTTCATAAACAAATGTAGAGAGCTTATACTAGCAACTTAATAGCTCACTTGAAGGCTCTAGAAAAATGGAAGCAAACACACCCAAGAGGAGTAGGCATCAGGAAATAATCGAACTCAGGGATGAAATCAATAACCTAGAAACAAAGAGAACAATACTGAAAGTCAACAAAACCAAGAGCTGATTCTAAAATCAACATTATAGACAAACCCTTAGCCAAACTAACTAAAAGACAGAGGGAGAGTATCCAAATTAATAAAATCAGAAATGAAAAAGGGGCTATAACAACAGATACTGAGGAAATCCAAAGAATCATTAGATCATACTTCCAAACCTGTATGCCACAAAATTGGAAAATCTAAATGAAATGGATGATTTTCTTGATAGATACCACTTACCAAAGTAAAATCAAGATCAGGTTAACAATTTAAATAGACATATAACCACTAAGGAAATAGAAGCAATCATCAAAAGCCTCCCAACCAAATAAGAGCCTTGGACCAGATGGTTTTAGCACAAAATTCTACCACACTTGCAAAGAAGAACTAATACCAATACTCCTCAAACTGCTTCACAAAATAGAAACAGAAGGAACATTGCCAAACTCATTCTATGAGACCACAGTTATCCTGATACCTAAACCACACAAAGACCCAACAGAGAATTTCAGATCAATCTCCTTTATGAATATTGATTCAAAAATACTCAATAAAATACTTAAACTGAATCCAAAAACACATTAAAAATATCATCCACCATGATCAAGTAGACTTCATCCCTGTAAAATGAGCTTTGTTTGGAAACCGAGATGAGTTAATCATTCTCCCACCTTTAACTGTAACTATATCTCATATGGCAGGAAATTCCAAACTGACTTGAAGATCAGATATTTACGACAGGGCTGACTGGACCTAAGGGTGACCAGAACTAACCAATTATTTTAAAAGTTAAACACCTCATTCAATCCCGAATCACCAAGATAGCAACCCCAGGAGATTCCCACCTTTTGCTAATTTTAAAAACCTAAGATCTTTGTCTCCTGGTGCCCTCCTAGCTGACCAGCAGGGGTGACCCCATTGTGCAATGGTCAAGATGAACCTCTTGCGATTTTGCATCGATGGATGATTACTTTCCTGAGTTCTCTTCATACCTTCTTATATTTAGGCTCACGCTGGCCCTAACAAGGTCTTACTCCTTCCAGCTGTGGGCCAGTCGCTGGACCGTCTCCTCTTCTTGTGTAGGTCATGTTCACTCTGCTGTGTCAGAGAAGCAACCAAAGACCACTGGAGGCAGATGTGCAGCTCTAGTTAGGGCTGATCACATGGGAATGGTGTGGCTGGAAGTTGTCCAGAGTGTAGCCAGCAACACTAAACCCAGGGCCCTGAGGACAAGCAGACACAAGCTGGGCCAGAGCTGCTTTAGGAGCCCAGGAGCAGCAGTGGGGTCCTGTCTGAGGCTGAAGTGCAGCAGGTACATCTGCAGGGTACAAGCCCAACTCCTAAGGAGATGGTGACATTCTATGATTTGCTAATCAGGGCCCATCGTTCCTATGACTATATCCTTGATTTCCAGGAACCATTTCTTCCTCAGCTACTGTTTTCACCTCTTTTTTTCCTTTCCTCTTTGTCCCTTCTTCCCTTTAAACCTCTTCTTACTTTCTTTTAGGCTTCCTTTCCAATAATTTAAGTGAAGCAAGTAAAATGTGAAGTTTTCTTGCCACTTCACAGCTCAACAAACCCAAGCCCAAGATCATTTATTTAATTTACATCATCATTTCATAGCTTTTTCTATACATTTGTGAACATGTTGCGATATAATTTAAGAATTTTTTTGGTTTGGTTAGTTTTGGGGTTTTTGTTTTTGTTTTGTTTTGTTTTTTGAGACAGAGTTTCTCTGTGTAGCCTTGGCTGTCCTATACTCACTTTATAGACCAGAAACCAGGCTGCCCTTGAGCTCATAGAGATCCACATGCCCTCTGGCCTCCCAGGTGCTAGTTTTAGAATTTTTGAAGACTGCTCACCCTACATGAATTGTACATATTTATGTTTCCATTTACAAATAATCCTAGACAGCCTTTCATTTCTGTGAGCATGGCTGCCTGTGTGCAAGGTGTCTGGTAAATACTTGCCTAGTTGGTTTGTGTGTGATCTAGCATCTACCCAGGAACTTTCCTATACACAGTATGAGCTACAACTATTTGGAAAAAAAAAAAAAAAACAACAACAAAAATATCCCAGTCACAGTGGTGTGTACCCAAAATCCTATCATGTCAGAGGTTGAAGCAGAAAAATGAGCAAGTTG